GTGTAGTATGTTTACCACTCTTATGTTGAATGAACTTTGCACTGAACCAAAATTTGGTGTAGGATGCAGGTAGATTTAAAAAAACTAAAATGCCGCAACACAAATTTATTAACTTTTCATTTGTCACATCTCTCTGAAATTTGGGTCTTCAGAGTTTTTAATAAGCATTCATGTACCGCTCAAACAGATGATCTGAATTACAGAAAAGTGTCCAAAGTTAAAGTTGCACTTCCTGTGCTCTACATTTGGAGGTCTCTATGCGTTCCTCATCTCTCTTACTGCTACTGGTCGTAGAGCTCAGCCAGGCTCACTGCCTGTGCATAAGGCAGTGTAATGAGGCTATTTCAGGCTTCAACCAACAGGGAGGGGAGGTTGTCAGGGATAGAGAGGGATGTCTCTGAGCTTCAGAGGAACGTGAGGTGAGGAGGGATCACTTTATCGCATTCCCTCTCCCTATCAGTCCATCAATTGAAGAGCTTACCCCTGAAACCTCTGCTGTGCAGGAACTAAGTTTTTCACAGAGAGGGCCTGTATTTGGTCTGTTATGCTTGAGTTGCCCACATGGGTTTTCTAGACTAATCAAAATTATTCTCTCACAGGTGTGTAATGCTTGCATCACTCATGCTGGGTGCTAATACTAGTTGTGGCGCTGTTTGTTTGTTTTTAGGGCAGAGACTTGCTGACGCAAAAGATACCATTGTGGCAACAAGCATGTGCCGACCCAAATAAACTCCCAGAGCGGGCGATGCTTCTGGCTCAGCAAATGGGCTCAGGAGTGACAGGGCCGCTGGGTCCCAGTGTCCACCACACCTCTAAATCTAGCCTGACCATCTCAGACCCCATCCCTGGGGCCAAGCCACTTCCTGTGCCCCCTGAGCTCGCAGTTCTCATGGGGAACCAACAGATGGTGAGTTAGAAACCCAGTCTGACCCAAATAAAAAAAAGTGTGAGCCACAAAATGATACAGTGTCTCAACTGCAGCTAGATAATTTGTAAATGGTTGCATTAATGATGTGTATAATTAAGTCCTGAGGGTGTTTGGGAGAGTGGGGGCACGCACTCACGGCCATAGGAATGAGAGAGTTCTCAAATTCAGTATAGAGGAAGTCATTAAAATACAGTTCCATAATGATCACAATGCTGTGAAAAGAATAATCAGAAACCTGCTGGCATTTACAGCTCTCTTTAGTTTACAGTTTATAAGAGTGCAGTAACATCTCCTGCGGCACAGCTGACAAAACTGTGTAAAAGACATGGGTTAAAAAAACTGCATCTTATAAGGGAGGACATTCATTTAAATCCCATTTGGGAGTATTGCGACTGTTGTGTTTGTTGTTGTTTTTTTAAGTGATTGGAGAAAAAAATATATGTATACATGGAAACTAGGTGTCTTAATTGTTCCTAAAAAAAATGTGATTTGTATCTTGCAGAGGATGATGGGAGCAGATAGTGTTCCCATGGTGAATGGCTCAGGGGTCCATGTGGGAGAAGACTACCAACGCTGGATGGAGACCAGAGCCGCACATGAGAAACCAGCCCACAGACACGGCGGAGAGACCTTCTCCAACACCCTGCCTGTCCGCAAGGTTGTGCCTGTAAAGCCCAAGAACACTCTGGGTAAGTTAAAGGAATAGTTCACCTAAAAATGAAAATTCTTCGTGAATTACTCACTCTCATGTCGTTCCAAACCCGTAAGACCTTTGTTC